GAGTGCAAGGGGGAAGCCAGAGACAAGGAGAGAGAGGAAAGGAACCAAAATCTCTTTTCAGMACCCTTTTAAAYGAGCAAGAGAGCCCCTATGCCCATYAGAGTTAAAAGMAGAGGCCAAGATCCCCCTGGGTGTGGAGGAGGTTTGGGAACAAGGAATGCCATTGCTCCTTGATAATGAGAATCAGTGCTGGGAGATCCTGACCCCAGAGCAGGTGCAGGGTTGCTGCTGAGGTTCAGGATCCATGGGGGCCCAGCAGGGTGGTTTATGGGGCTGCAGGACTGACTTTGGGGTCTACTCACTCACCTTCATACCCTACACATGAAACCTGCTCCAGAAGCAGCACAAATCCAACATCTTCTGCATTCACAGATGGAGCAGCCCTGGGTCACAGAGGATGAAAAGTCAACTTTCCCCCAGGGCAGAGGAGCACATGGTTTTCTGACATCCTGGGTTCAAAATATGGGCAGCGTGGCCCCATCTCAGCTGACCCTGCTGTGAGAGTGAGAGCTCCTGGAAGAGCAGGATCGTAAATTCTTTCTTTCCCTGCTGAGCCAACCCCAGCAAGGCGTGAATTATGACCAAGGAAACAGTTTTACCTCCCAGAAATGGTGAAATTTTCCCTTCCCTGCAGATTACTTCTTAAATGGCAAGCTGCACCTAAAAATATCCGAGTACCTTGTAAATGCAGTTCCATATTCTTCTGTTTYGTGGAACATTCAGGGCAGTGTGCAGCCAGGAAAGGGAAATACAGGAAATGCCAGTGTYGGTGACAATGGGTGCTGCAGGGCTGCTCACCTTTTTGTCAATTCTCAGCTGATGGGGAAGAGAGAAGAGGAGTAGAACAAAGTGAGGTGTGTACATATCAAACCACGATTCTTCAGTGGGAGAGAGGGGAGAACAATGCAGCTCTGCAGCCCTTTGGGATCCCATCACCCCTGGGAACTCCCTCCAAGAGCATCTGGGTACCACAGCAATAACAGAAAAAATGCAAAGATCAGGCACAGTCACTGAGCATGAGCGTGACAGAAGAAAATCTACCATAACTTGTTTTGAACACAGAAATTTTTGTCTTACATCTTTCACTCACTCTCAGCAGAGAAGAAACCTTAAGCATTAAACAGGAATAAGAGGATGACAAAAGAGAATAATGGTATAAACGTGTAGGGCTTCTCTCATGTGSCCTTTTCCTTGGGGCCCCTCAGTTATTCAGTTTACCAGATGTGTATTAAGGCATAACTCCTTGGCCTACAAAATTAAGGCACCATAACATGAGAGAAAGTTATGGTTGCCTAAGATGCCCAAATAATTTTAAATAACCACAYGTCTTGCTTATCATTATAAATTTTCTAATGAAGTCCTTCCTCAG